AGGATTTGGGGTATCCCCAGAATTTGGGGTATCCCCAGGATTTGGGGGGCCCCAGGAGGGGGGGGGCCCCAGGGTTTGGGGGGCCCCCCCCCGGGGCCCCCCCCCCCCCCCAGGGGACGCCCACCGCGGTGCCTACACGGCTTTCATGAAATCCCACCGCTGCTACGACCTGATCCCCACCAGCTCCAAACTGGTCGTCTTCGACACGTCCCTGCAGGTGTGCTGGGGCTGGGGGAAGAAGGAAGTTTTGGGGCTGGGGTTGGGGTCACTTTCGGGGCTCCCTGATGGCCGTGCCCGCAGGTGAAGAAGGCGTTCTTCGCCCTGGTCACCAACGGCGTCCGGGCGGCCCCGCTCTGGGACAGCAAGAAGCAAAGTTTCGTAGGTGAGCCCGGGGGGCACAGGGGGCTCTCAGCCTGGCAAGGGGCTGGAGGGACCCCCCCTCACCCTCCCTGCCCCCCAGGAATGCTGACCATCACCGACTTCATCAACATCCTGCACCGCTACTACAAGTCACCCATGGTGAGGGCCGGGGGTCTGCGGCGTGGGGGGAGTCTGGCTCTACCCACCCCACCTATGGCTGTGGGTGATCCTGGTTTCTCCTCTTACCCCCCCCAGGTGCAGATCTACGAGCTGGAGGAGCACAAAATAGAGACGTGGAGAGGTGAGGGGGGTCTCTGCCGGCCGCCTCCCGCCCCCCCCGGCGCTCCCGGAGCCCCCCGGCGCCGTCCCCCGCCCACCCCCCTCAGTCCCCCCCTCTCCCCGCAGAGGTTTATCTGCAGGACTCCTTCAAGCCCCTGGTCTGCATCTCCCCCAACGCCAGGTACCCCCCGGGGGGCAGGGAGGGGGGTCACAGCTTGGGGGCCATTTTGGGCACACCCCAAATCCCCCTCCCTCCCTCCCGCAGCCTCTTCGACGCCGTGTCCTCCCTGATCCGCAACAAGATCCATCGTCTGCCCGTCATCGACCCCGACTCGGGGAACACCCTCTACATCCTCACCCACAAACGCATCCTCAAGTTCCTCAAGCTCTTTGTAAGTCCTGCCCTTGCCTCATGGTGATGGTGGGGGCCACCCTGGGACCCCCAGCCCGGGCTGTGCCAGGTCCTTGTGCCAAGTTCTACCCCGAGCCCCTTGGTCTGGGCTGTGCCAGGTCCTTCTACCAGGTACCACCAGCACTGGGCACAGGGTGGGCACAGCTCTGGTACCTCCCCACATGCTGTGGGTGCTGGGGGACCCCCAGGAAGCTGCACAAACCCTCTGCATCGCCCCTGCCCGGGGGTCCCACATCCCCTGCCCCACCCCCTGGCACTCTGTGCTTTCACCCCCAGCACGGGGGGGGTCTGTGCTCAGCCCTGTGCCCCCCTTGCTGTCCCCGCAGATCGCAGAGGTGCCCAAGCCCGAGTTCATGGCGCGGACGTTGGCGGAGCTGCAGATCGGCACCTACAGCAACATCGCCGTGGTGGGCACGGGCACCCCCATCTACGTGGCCCTGGGCATCTTCGTGCAGCAGCGCGTCTCTGCGCTGCCCGTGGTGGACGACTCGGGTAAGGACGGGCTGGCCCGGCCTTGGCTGTCCCCAGGTCACCTCCGGGGGGGGCTGTGTCCCCTCTCGAGGGCCCGGCAGCGCCGCTGAGCCGCTCCCCTCCTTCCCCAGGGCGGGTGGTGGACATCTACTCCAAATTCGATGTTATTGTGAGTACCGGGAGGGGCAGTGCCTGGGCTGGGGGGGGATGCCGGGGAGTGGTGGTGGTCCCCAAGGTCCTGGCTGTGTCCCCAACACCTGTCCCTGCCCCAGAACCTGGCAGCTGAGAAGACCTACAACAACCTGGACGTGACGGTGACACGGGCGCTGCAGCACCGCTCCCACTACTTCGAGGGTGTCCTCAAGTGTTACAAGCACGAGACGCTGGAAACCATCATCAACCGCCTGGTGGAGGCCGAGGTAACCGTGCCCGGGGTGCCAGGGTGGGGTCTGGGGGGGTCCCCACTCCCCCTCAGCCCTTCCCTGTGTCCCCCCTCCCCAGGTTCACCGGCTGGTGGTGGTGGATGAGAGCGACGTGGTCAAAGGGATCGTCTCCCTCTCAGACATCCTGCAAGCCCTGGTCCTCCCACAGAGCCCCTGAGGTGGTGTGGGGGGGGTTAATTCCTCCCCTGGAGCCCCCCACTCTGCTCTCCTGCCACACTGTGCCCCCCTGGGCTGGCGGAGGCACCCGGGGCTGGACCCCACTCACCAGCAGCATCCAGCAATAACTCCCAGCCCTGGGGTGGTCCCCACTGCCCTTCCCTGGGTGGGGGGAGCCCACGGCCCCCCCTGCACCCCAAGGCCGTACAAGGTGCTGGGGGCAGCCCCCGACCCCCCTGGGGTCACCCACCTCCGTGCCAGGGCTGTTCCCAGTGCAGACCCTCATCCCCGCCCCCTCTGCCCCCCCAGGGTTTCACTGGCTTTGGTGAAACCTCCTCAGCTCTCTCTGGCCCAGGGACCCCCCCCAGCCCCAGGGGTTCCCCCCGGGCCCCCCCAGGTCCCTCGGGCACATCCGCACCCGCCACCGCTTCGTGTGTGGAAAAACCCCACAAATAAACACAGACCTGGCACCACCCCGGCTCGGTGTGGGGCACGGGGGGCACCAACGAGGGAGGGGGTACCCGGGGAGGGGGCGCGACCCCCCCACGCCAGACAGGGGGAATCTGCTGAGCTCAACCAGACCCTAAATCCCTGTTTGTTCCGCCTGTGGCTTTTCTAAAAGGCCGGGATTGGGGATGGGACGGGCACAGGGACCCGGCGGGACATGGGGACCCTCCGGTGGGCACCGCGGTGAGCGGGGGGTGTCGGGCAGGGGCTGGGGGAGGCCGGAGCGAGGGGCTGCGTGTCGGGGGGCTGGCGGGGGTCGCGGGCAGGCGGGAGGCCGAGGTTTGCTGCCGGTGCCCACGGGGGAGGCGCGAGGCCCGGCCGTGCTGAGCGTGGCACATTCCTGGCCGGGGGGGGAGAGGCCGGGCCGGGGGACCCCGTCCCTGCCAGCCCCGGGGTCCGGCAGAGGCTGCGGAGCGAGGTGAGCGCCGGGCAGGTACCGGGGGGCCCCGGGGGGGCTCGGGGGGGCCGTGCCGGTTGCCATGCCGCCGCCGGAGGGTTGCTAAGCTCCGCTCGGAGCCCGCGTGGGCTGCAGCGCTCGGTGCCAAACCCGCCATCGCCTGCTTGTCGCAGGGGGGGAAGGGATCCCGGGGGGGGGGCACACGCACACGTACACGGCGACAAGACACCCCCGGGACGGCCGGTGGGGTCCCCGCGGCGTGCCGGGCTCCCGGCCCCCCGGGGGGCTCCGAGCCCCGCGGCGGCACCGGGCGGGACACGGGGGTCCCCGGGGGAGCGCGTGCGGCCGTGGGTGTGTGCGGGCGGGCACGGGGCTCTGCCGAGGCTCCACTGAGCCCCACCCCTGCACGGGGACCCCCCTCCCGGCCGGGGCCATGCTGGGGGGTCCGGAGCGGGGCGCGGGGCGCCTGCGGATCTGCGAGCGGACCAAGCTGGTGCTGGTGGAGATCGACACGGTGGCGTGTTGCAGCTCGGGCGCAGGCATGGCTGCGGGGTGCCGGCCAGAGCCCCCCTGGACCTACCGCCGCATCGCCGGGGAGTACGCGTGAGTGGGGATGGAGGGGCGGGGGGTCCGGCCCGCGCCCCCCACCCTCCCTCCCCTCACCCCCCATCTCTGTCTTGCAGGTACCTGGAGAAGCGCTTCGTGGCCGAGCTGGCCCCCCCCTGGCCCCCCGTGCCCCCCAGTTCCTCCCGACGCCTGCAGGACTTCGCCCCCCGGCCCCGGGTGCCCCCCACCCCCTGCCCCCCACGACAGCCCGAGGGGACGGGGGGCAGCGGACCCTGGGGGGGGAACCCACCGCCCACGCCCCGGCCTCCGGTGCCGGTGGGCAAGTTGTGCCCCCCCACCTACGAGGTGCACATGCAGCGGGTGCAGGCGGCCCAGGCCGCCGGGGGGGACCCCCCCCCCTACATCTCCCCCCCCGCCTACGACGCTCCCCACCGCACCCTGCAGCTCCGGCCCCCCCGGGGACCCTGCAGCCCCCCGTCGGCACCCCAGGCCCGGGGGGCTGTGCCGGGGGGCTGGAGCCACACGCTGCCCCGGGCGGCCACCGAGGCCAAGCACCGGCGGCCCCGCGGGACGCAGCCCCCCCCGGGGGGGGCCGGCACCCCCCGGCACTGCCAGACGCTGCCGCGGGCGGCGGCCGGCCGGGAGCGGGTGCCGGGGCGCGGGAGGGGGCG